CTCAGGGTAGTGGTCTGCCTGAGCAAGATGGAGAACATGGACTGGGGAAGGAGTCAGCACCGGGATCTCCCCCAGCTACTCCCTTAGTTCTCTCCCCAATGCCTCTGCCTCCAGTCTCTCCTCGAGTCTCTAGGCATTGCTGTGTCCCCTTTGGCTGGGGCTCTTTTATCTCTGCAGGCAGCTCTACACTCAGCACCAAGGCCAGCACACAACTCCTGTCCAGCTGGACTGTCCTGAGGGCAGGGCTATTATTACCTTCCCACTGCTGATTCTTTGGGGCGTGGTCTGCCTGTGCAAAATGGAGACTATGGAATGTGGAAGGAGTCAGCTCTGGGACTCCCTGGTTACTCCTTCAGTTCTTTCCCCAATGTCTCTATCTACAGTCTCCCCTCAAAGGTCTCTAGGCAGCTCTGTGTCCCCTTTGGCCAGAGATCCTCTATTTCTTCAGGCCATTCTGCACTCAGCACCCCAGCCCACATGCACAAGCCCTGGGCGGAGCATGCAGAAGTCAGGTTTATTGATTCCCTTATGCCTGAGTGAGATGGTCACTGCAGAGTGGGAGGTGAGTTATCACAGGGGCTCTCCTGGCCACTGTCTCAGTTCTCTTCACAGTTTTCCTCACCAATCTTTCCTCAGGCACCAGCCCACTCTGCTGCCGCTTCTACCCAGAGATCATGGAGGGCCGCTGCCACTGCAAATTTTTGCATTGGCCCTTTAAAAGTCTCTTTGCATCTCCAGCCACCTGTCTCTGGCAGAGAGCGCCCCTAAGCTTTTTGGGGTTGCATTTTGTCTGTGCATTTTCCTGGTTTCAGCTGCTGTAGTCTAGGGGTCCCTGTTTATGGTTCAGACCATGTTCTTCTGAGGGGGATCCAAGTGGCTGTTTCAATGTTCTTCTGGTGCTGGTGCCCATGGGTGCCAAGCCTACCCTCCCAAACTTCCACCGCACTTCTCACCCATTAGATGTGTGAAAGTTGATTCCGCTGTCTGTCCGTGGCTCCAAGGCTCCTCTCACTCTATCCTTCTGTTGTTTTCCAGGTGATCTCCCCGCTATTTAGTCACAATTCCAGTTTGGTCCTGGGAGGAGGTCAGCGTGACTCCCATTTACTCCTCTGCCATAGTCATGACAGGGGGGGATTTTTTTATTTAATTATTGTTTCTATTTCACTAGGTGTAATATGTCTTTTCAAATTATCTGAATCTTCCTGACTTAGTTTTGGAAGATTGTTTTTCTAGGACTTCATACATTTCGTCCATGTTGTCTAATTTGTTGGCGTATAGTTGTTATTTGCTTACAACTCTTTTTATTTCTTTGGTGTCAGTTATTTATTTCTGCTCTTAAATTTCTGATTTTACTTATTTGGGTCCTCTTTATTTCTTGATAAATGTGATTATAGCTTTGCCAATCTTGTTCAAATCATTTCAAAGACCCAGCCCTTTGATTCATTGATCTTTTTCTCAATGTTTAGACTCTATTTCATTTATTTCTGCTCTGATCTTATTTCCTTCCTTCTATTAACTTTGGGCTTTGTTCTACTTTATCCAGTTCCTTTAAGTATAATGTTAGAATGTTTATTTGAGCTTTCTCTTGTTTTTTGACATAGACCTGTAATGCCATGAATTTCCCTCTTAGGATTGCTTTCCCAGTGTCCCACACATTTTGGACTGTTGTATCCTCATTTTCATTTGGTCTTCTTTTGATTTCTTCCTTTATCTTGTTGCTGACCCATTCATTTTTTAATTGCATGTTATTTAGCTTCCATGTCTTTGCATGTTTTTCAGTGTTCTTGTGATTAATTATTAGTTTCATAGCATTGTGGTCAGAGAAGGTGCTTGATATGACATAAACCTTCTTAAATTTATTGAGATTTGTTTTGTGTCTTAACATGGGGTCTATTGTAGAAAATGTTTCATGAGCACTTCAAGTATGTATAATCTACTGCTTTGGGGTGAAATGATCTAAATATCAATTAAATCTATTTGATCTAGTGTGTTGTTTAAGGCCACTATCTCCTTGTTGATTCTGTGACTGAAAGATCTCTTCATTGAAGTCAATGGGGTGTTAAAATTCTTGAATAACTGTATTTCTGTTGATGTCTCCCTTTATGTCCATCAAGATTTGTTTCAAATATTTAGGTGCTCCTATATTGGGTGCATAAATATTTACTAGGGTTATATCCTGTTGTATTGTTCCCTTTATTATATGTAGTGTATCTTCCTATCGCCTTGGTTGTAAAGTATATTTCGTCAGATATAAGTACTACTATGACAGCTTAAATATCTTTTTCCATTCTTTTACGTTTAGTCTGTGTGTATCTTTTGATCACAGATGAGTCTCCAGGAGGCAGCATATATACGGGTCTTGTTTTCTTATCTATTCAGCTACCCCCTGTCTTTTGGTTAGAGCATTTAAGCCATTTATATTTAAGGTGATTATCGATAGATATGTATTTAGTGCCATTTTATTGTTAGACTATTTTTTTCTTTCTCTTTTTGTTCTTGTTAAAGAAAGTCCCTTAACATTTGGTACAGTACTAGTTTGTTGTTAGTAAACTCCTTTAGCTTTTTCTTGTCTGCAAAGCTCCGTATTTCTCTTTCAATTTTAAATGATAGCCTTGCTGGGTAAAGTAGCCTTGGTAGTAGGTGATTGCTTTTCATCACCTTGAAAATTTCATGCCACACCCTTCTGGCCTGAAATGTTTCTGTTGAGAAATCAGATGACAGTCTAATTGGTGCTCCCATGTATGTGACTACCTGCTTTTTCTCTTGCAGCTTTTAGGACCCTCTCCTTGTCTTTAAGCCTTGTTATTTTAATTATGTCTCGGTGTAGACCTCTTTGGGTCTAGCTTGTTAGGGACTCTCTGAGCTTCCTGGACTGCTGTGTCTTTTTCCTTCATCGGATTAGGGAAGCTTTTGCTCATTATTTCTTCAAATAGGTTTTCTTTTTTTAACTTTATTTTTTTAATTTATTTTATTTTTTCAAATAGGTTTTCAATCCTCTTGCTCACTCTCTTCTTGTGTTCCCATGCTGTGGATGTTGTTATGCTTTATGTTGTTCAAAATGTTTCTTAAGCTCTTGTTTTTTAAAATTCTTTTTTCTTTTTGCATTTCTGCCAGGGTGTGTTTTTCTATCTTGTCTTCCAAATCACCAATTCAGTCCTCCGCTTCATCTAACTTACTGCTTATTCCTTCCAGTGTATTCTTTACTTCAGATATTGCATTCTTCATTTCTCATGGGTCCTTTTTTATGGTTTCTATGTCTTTTTCTCATACTGTTGAGTATCCTTATAATCATTACTCTAAACTCTATTTTGACAAATTGCTTGCCTCAATTTTATGTAGTTCTTTTTTTCTGGAGAATTCTCTTGTTTAATTGGAATCTGTCTTACTACTTTGGCAGTTTCTTTGTATTTTCAGCCTTTGCTGTTAAACTAATCAATGATATACCCTGTAGCTGTAATGAGTAGCCTGGTTTAGGCTCCACAGGGTGGGGCACAGTAATTCCTGTGGATGGCGCTATTGCTTCCCCTCAGGCTGATGACACTTGGAGAGGAATGCTTTGCCTGAGGTGGCTCCTGTAGTATGGGGAATGGCTCAGCACAGGGATCCCAGTGGCTGTTCCTTCAGTTCTCTCCCCAGAGCCTCTAACCTGACTCTCCTCAAGAATCTCTAGTCCTCTCGGTCACCCCTCTGCTGGAGATCAGGGTAAGCAGCTACAAATGAAATTTTATACTTGGCCCTTTAAGAGGATCTTTGTCTTCAGCCATCTCTCCATGGCAGGTAGAAACCCTGCTACTTTTCAAAGCTGGATGTTATCTGGGTTTCTTTCTGGCTCTGGTGCTGTAGGCTGGGGAGTCCAGCTTGTCGTTTATACCCCGTGTTTCTCATGAGGTGGTTACCTGGCTGCTGAAATATCCCTCTGGAACTTCAGCTGCCCCTGGGAGCCCAGCCCACTGTCCTTCATTTCCTCTGCACTCTTACCAGTTTCGTTGTGGTGAGTGGTTCCTTTTGTCTGTCCATGGTTATAAGGCTTCTCTCCAGCTAGTGTTCAGTTGGTTATTCCTCATACACTGTCCTCATATATTGCTACCAGTGGGGTCTAGGGCAACACTTCATAGTCAAACATTACCATTTCTGTAGTAAAATCTATGAATGTTGCCTTGATGGGACAGCTCCTAGGCCACATAAAATTGTAAGTGCATATAACCCAATATTTATTGTACTCAGAAGATAAACACACCAATCAAGGCAGCTGAACATGGATATATAATTAAGCTGTAGCTCTATGTACTTCCTATAGCAAAAGAAAAAATTAAAATGTTTTCTTATTAAGGAAACTATGGATTATTTTCAGACTTTGTTCTAATGCTACATATCTAGATCTGATATGAAAAATCTACAAAATCCACATTTTATATAAAATAGTTTGAAGTGTGTAAGGCGTAGTAACGAGACACAAAAGCATATATCATAAAAATCTATGACTTTAATATACTAAGTATCATGGAACAATATTAGTTTTTTATTCATGAAGACTATTTAAATATTATTTACAACAACTTTAAGGGAACATATATGTACATTTGGACATCAAAGTATTTTTGGAAAGAAAAGTTACATATATGATTAAAATAATGTAAGACTAAAGACATCCTGGGCCATAATTTTATCACTTCTGAATTCTCCTTATTTAAAAAAAAAATACAGTAGGGATAATTCAGCTCACTATTGTTTTCTAAAATATCCTAATCAACCTGTTGTAGAGTAACAAAAATGACCTACCACCCTGCTGACGTAGGGATTTTAAAAGGTAGCAAATATTTTAGAAATTTAAAACAAACTTCTCTGTTAAGAATTTTTATTTGCTTAGAATACAGAACAAAAGTGAAAGAATTTCATTTTTCGCTTGCTGAAGCTATTATGGGAAACTTAGTTTTAAGATGGTCTTCTTTAAAATTTTTAAATAAATTTCTGTAAGGTCACTGGTAACAAATCCTTTTAAAAGCAGAGTTGTCCACATAATTTCTCTTGATTTTGAAGTGACTTATCTTAGGTTTCCTTTTGAAATACTTCTTCCAAACTTTCTGACTATGTTTGGCCTTACTTTATGGATGCTTCTTTTATATTCTAGAGAAGAAAAGAGAAAATTGATCAATACGTTGAAAGCATCATTAAAAAAAATTTCACCATTCCTTCTACTTTTAGAAATCCATTTCTCCATGTTTCAGAGAGAAGTTGTAGCATATGCATGTGAGCCCACACTCACCTGCAGTTTAACTTTTGTTCTTTTTGAACTTAAGACTGATTCTATAAGCATTGTTCCATTTCCTGTTTGCATTATGAATTTTTCTCATTCTTTGGATTATTTTCCTAGGGCTTCTTAAACTTCCATATTTTTCCAACTTAGAAGTATCATTTGAATCTAGTACTTCCTAAAGTGCTGATCCTGATCCCATAGCCTTTTTATCGCCTTTCAAATGTGAGCTACCTCTGCCCAGTCTTGTGGTACTTCAACAGCCTAAACAGTGATTCTCTGCTCAACGGAGTGTCACAACAGGTGCCAATCGACCTTCTTAGGGATGAGTCTAATCTCTTAGCCATTTTCTTGGTCACCTTAAGTTTTAGTTTTAGGGGCACATACTCTCTTGACACTCTTATTTCTCAAACTGCACAGTTAACAGTAGTTACCTTCTTTTCCACTTATGTTCCTTTGTTTTTATTTGTACAATATTAGAGAACAAATATTAGTTGAACAAATATTAGAGAACAAATATTAGTTGACTAAGGAAAGCCAGTCCCAGTTCTTTTACTTTTCCAGTAATTCCTGATGTGTATTCAGGTCTCAGCTGGATATCCTAATGTATCCAAATTATTATCTTCCCTAAATTAATCTCTTCCTAAGTGCTACCTTATCCTTTAACACATCATCTTTTAACTTAGCTTTACCTCTTCTTTCCTCTTTGGCAAGCACTGTAGTTTAATATCATCTCCTACTTTTTTTTCCATTCATCTCTTTTACACATGAGATATCTGATGCATTTTACACTAATATTAGAAAATAAGCATATTAGAAAACCAAATTTTTTTTATTTAGAATTATAAACTTATTATGTTGCAGAATTGACTTCTTAAATAATTTTTTCAGGAGACCCATGGGGCAGTACATATTTATACTAACTGCATATACACATTGTTAAGCATTATTAAATATGGCATGTTAAACCAAAATCATAGTAAACTTTACTTTCCAGGACTTATGTTGAGTATTAAATTTGCACAAAACAATTTCCATTGAACTTAAGTAAACAACTGCCACTGGCTACAAGAAGTAAGGATTTATCAGTACAGTTTTGCAAAGCCATTGAGAAATTTTGTATTACTGTAATGAAAGAGCACTGACAGAAAAAGAAGTAATAGTTTTCACGTTTTCTTATAAACACTCATGTTCTCATGAAACCCGTATAAATTCCAAAGGCTAGAATTTTAAGTTCCTTTAGAGATCAAACAAAAATTTTAGTAACTCCTGTGTTCATTACAGAACCTAGCACATAGTGATTGTGTAGTAAATAAGTACTTCTTGAAGGAAGTCTTAGGAACTAGGTGCCAAAGAAACAGAAGTTGGGACACCAACGCCTAGAAACTGATTGGCACTATATACCTCTACTTTCACTGAAGATGTGGTTGTGTTGACAGGAACTCATGTCAGCCCTGATATGTAACTGAGAGTAGTCACCCCCAATAGCATCTTTCTTAACTTGCTAATGGAGAGTTACAATGTGATTATAGCTACGTAGAGAATGGAGCCTGGCTATAATTATACAAATGAGTCAGAGGCCAGATTACGAAAAACAATAGGCTAATGAAAAAATTGAAAGTAGATATAGTTTATTGGCAAAATATATTTAAACACTAACCTATTAAAGAATACACTTAGTGAATTATTTCAATTATTAGTTAAATTATTTACCAAGTCTTCTGCCATATGAACCAGTATAGACAACAAAAGGGGCACAGAACATAGAGTTAGGAGATGTGGTTCCTCTGTGAAGTATCTGTCTGGTATTAGGTAGTGTTTTCTATTTTGTGTCCTAAGTTTTCTTATGTGTAACGTGGATAATCAAACTTACCATGTAATAAAGTTGATGTATAGATAAAAGGAGATTCTTATGAAAACACTATAAAAATGTAAAGTACTACACCTGTGTTAGGTTATCATGTTATTAAATATCAAAGTAAGAGCTCAGACATACCCACTGCTGCTCCATTTTCTTGTGAGTGTTTATCACTTGAATTATCTTGTCGAACACGTTTGGCAAATCCAGAATTTTCCTCAGCAGTTGACAAAGTATTTGATGTAGAACTTGAGAGGAAGATTTTTATTTTAGTTAAGCACATTTTATAGATCTAAGTTCTAATACACAATCTTACATGCAATAAAGACTAAAGAAAAAGTAAAATACTAAAATACTGAGTTGTTATATCCCACTGGAGTAACTGGAGGTACTAAATAAATTTCCCAGAGAAATTTAGCTCTGTATGAATGTTTTTTCAAAATCAGAGATTTGACTGTAGGTATATGCAACAATTCTGTTTAACAGGACATTTCCAAATGTAGTGATAAGGAGTACACTGCAATAGGTGAAAAACTAGGCTCACACTACAAATTTGGAGCAGGAACCCTAATCTGGGTAATATAAACAATGTGAGACTGTTGGGAAATCTTGCTTTTAACTCAAAACACTGTAACAGCCTGAGAGTCTCTCTGATTATGGCTATTATAGAAACTGAAATGAAAAAGAATGACCTATTTTCATTTGTTTAATCTTCAAAAAGCTGTATCAATTTCATGTTATTAATGGGTGAAAATTTTAACTCGATTTGAATTGACACTATAAACGTCTATTATGGCTTCTTATTACAGGACATACAAATAAGTAAGGTACAACCAACTCCAGTCTTGAAAACTTATATAATGGATATATGGTAGAGAGGGGCAAAATATAACACAAATACATAAAATAAAACAAGGCAAAGTAAAAAACAGTGCCACAGGTTTTCAAGCTCCAAGAAGCTGTAGGTTCCTGAGTTTAGAAGAAGGAACACAAAATATTTTGTGAATGAGATGAGTTTTGACCTGGGCCTGGAAAAAGAGCAATCCAAACCTTTGAAACCTAAAAGAGGATCAAGTTTTAATAAAAAATTAGCTAATTCGAATAAGACAATTTTAGGGAATTTCTGGCTCATAAAGATATATGCCATTTTACAAGTTGCTACTAATTTGATAGTCAGATTAACAATCGGAGGCTTCCCTTTTATTGAAATAACTTGCTCTTCTGGAAATCCTAACCATGTGGTAAACTGATGTGGGTGTATGTTTATGAAACAGGGAGAAGATGGTTAGTTGTATGCTCATTTAAAGCAGTCAGAAATGGCAATTTTAACAGGAGAGAAAAATAGGCATGAGCAGACTGAATGCTGGGAAAAATAACCCAACCGGTGTACCTCATTGTTCTATAGCTTTTATGAGAGATGATTATAATGCTCTTAATAGTGATTTTGCCTATTCCACTCAAGAATGCAAATGATATTTACCAAAAATGGTTACAAAAAAGTACTAGTTTTATGAAAGTAAGCAAATTTAGTTGTAGAAATTCTCTATTCCTAAAGGTTGTTAAATAAACTAGGTTACTATAATTCTCTAAAAAGATATTAAACAGCTTTTTCTGATAATATGCATATAAGTTGTGAAAAGTTCTTTGTTTTTGGTCATTTGGTGATTTTATTTCAAGTATAAAGGTCAATATTATTGGTTCATTTTGATAGTGTTTTTCCTTATAATTTATCTTATAATTGTCTTTATTATTTCATGGTATGATTCTTCACTGCGGTGTTAGAATCTTTGTTTTTACTCACAGATTTTTACTTGAAAAATTAAGGTTTTGAATAAATCTATCTGAATAAAACTCATATTTCTAGGAATGAAATCAAAGCCTAATAAAAATAAGTTATATATTTATGCATAAGTAAAATACACTAAAACATTTTTAGGATTAGATAAAATAGTCCATGGATAAAAATGTTTAACATTTACGTTATATATTTGTTAGATTATAAAATTAAAAAAGAAAACCCTAAAATTGGTATGATTCCAAATTTAAATTATGTTAGAAATTATATTGAGAAGAAATCTAAAGACTCTTCTAGTTGTGTGCCTAATATACTTCCTTAACTGTTAATAAAAGTTAGGATTTAACTTTTTGTTCCCTTACACAGGAAGAATGCCACTGCTTAATAGGCATAGTTCTTCTCATTTCTTTCGATTGAGATAATTTTTAGTTGAAATCATTAGATACCTTTCAAAATAAACCAAAAATGTTTGGCGAAGTGTGAAACTCTTTCTGGATGCTAAGAAAGATTGTGAAACAAACAAACAAACAAACTCAATCATATAAACAAAAAGCAACAAAACCCCAAAACTCTGATTAGTTAAGACAGTCTGCTACAGGCCCTGGACGTGTAGCTTGGTTAGAGCATTGTCCCTGTCTGCCAAGGCTGTGGGTCTGATCCCTGGTCAGGGCACATACAAGAATCAACCAATGAATGTATTAATAAGTAGAATAACAAAGAGATGTTTTTCACTCTCCCCTCTTCCTCTGTCTCTTTAAAAATCAAATTTAAAAGGTCTGCTACACTGATATTGAATAAATTGAAATAATTGAAAATCTAATATTCTTAATTTAGCTAATAACTAAAAAAAATACAGATTGGTAGGTTTTTTGAATATCTAGTGCTTTTGGACTGTAATATATCTTCTTCAGAGAGAAAAACTGATACAAAAGAAATAAAAAACTATATACATGGAGCCTTCTCTTCTTCACTTTAAAAAACAATATTAGAATATAAACACACTTAAACATGTACATAAAGCTGTTAAGTGGAAAATACCAGACTTTATTACTTTCAAGCTCATATAGATTTAATTGGGAAAGGAAGATTTTTTAAAACGTAATTATGTACATTTCTACCACTAATCTCTTTTAACCATAGTTAATGGCAGGATCTAATTATTGGTACCAGAGGGAATGTAATAGAGCAATTAATAGGCTATGAAAAATCTTACTTTCTTTATATGTCCTTTAATATTATTTCACAATATTAGTTGTTCATGTGAAAGCCTTTTAACTCATCTAAAACCACTACAAATAGACATTTATATACCCGGACATTTGACTTTGATAATGACTACGTTTCCACTTAAAAATTATTATTAGCTATAAGCTTTTGCTCTATCTTAGTTAACACAACAGAGAATACTACCAGTGGAGAATCAAAAGAGTCACCAACATTAATTAATTGAAAGAATTACACAACAGACACAATGAAAATTAGTGATGAGATGAGTGACACAGATGATGGTGACTGATTCCCACACAGGAGTCAGACAAACTGCACAATTCAAATTTGTGCCACAGCAAAATATAAAATTTTAAATGTCATGAGTAGTCAAAGATATTCAGGAAAAAAATCAGTCCATACATATTTAACGTACATATTCCAAAGTTCTGCTGTATTTTGGTTGGAGGGGAAAGGACAGATGCTAAATGCACCCGTGAGATGACACTCTATGTGGCACAAATAAACAGGCTATTTGTAAATTTGTTTATACTAGCTCAGATGAGACAGGGCCATGGTGGAAAACGAGCAATTTAAAGAGAGTTCTCTCAAGATCTTACATTACACTCTTTCCCCCATAATCACATGTCAAAAATAAAGGGGGTGGGGAGTAAGTCAGATCCATTTTACAATGTAATCCACTGTATCTTGTCATTGCATTTAATGTCGGGGGGATACAAAGACTTCATATCATATAACAGTGTATTTATGATTTTTCTGTTTCCTTTGATTTTTAGCTATTTTATTGCTATGTACCTAGGTGTATTTCTCTTTATATTACTGTTGCTTGTGGTTTGCAGTGCCTCTTGAATCTTTTTTGAGTTTTAGGAAATTATTAGCCAGTATCCTCACAAATATTGGTTTACCCCATTCTTTTTCTCATTTCTTTCTGGGAGTAAAAATATCTATGTGTCCTGTATTTCTTTTAATTGTGCCCCATATTTTTCACTGTGCTTCTTATTTCTCTTTCAGTTTTCTCCATATTTTCTTTTTTATCCTTTTGTACATGGGTTTGGATATTTTCCTATCCACCTATCTTCCAGTTCACTAAACTGTCTTCTGTGCTTAATCTGTTAAGATAATTTACTGAGTTCCTAATTTCAGTAAATTCTATTACTTCAGTTCTAGAATATACATTTGATTCATTTTAACAGAATCTAGTTCTTTGGGAAATTATCATCTATTTTGTTCAATTTTTTGTTAATCACAGTTAAAAGTTTTAAAGTCCTTATTTGATAATCTCAATACCTGCATCACTTATGGATTACTCCTTCTCTTATTTGTTTTTTTCTCTCTCGATTTTTACTCATTTGGTCCTGTCTCCTGGCATACTTCGTAATTTTTACTTAAGTACTAAACACAGTGTAAGAAAAACTGTAGAGGTTCTGGATGGTATATTCTCCCAGAGATGATTTTCTTCTGGCAAGCAGAGAGAATAGAGATAGATTGCCTTGACCTATAAAGGAATTGAGTTGATTTAGGGTCTGTTTCAGGCTTTCAAGAACTGATCTATTTCCAGTTTGCCCTGCTCCTGAACCATAGGCCTCGGGGGTCTCACAGAAAATCCTGGATGTTTAACAGGGCCCTTTCTCCGTGATCCCTGAACAAGAATTTTTGTGTCCCAGCCCCACGAGCGTGGCCCAGTTCTGCTTAAGATGTTAGCTTTGTAGCAGCAAACTCCAGCTTGGGTTCTTGAACTCTTATTCCACAGAGGTTAGAACCTGGCAAATAAGTATCTGGGGGGCAAAAAGCTACACAGAATGATTTTGTTTCTTTAGCTCAGTGAGGCTGCTGATAAGCTCGGGGCTTTCATTTTATGCTTGGTCTTTATACATGAGGCCATGGATTGACAAGTGCTCAAAGGAAAAAAAAAAGCAGACAAGGTCTGGCTCTCTAACAGCTTGTTTTCCTTTTTTCCCTGGGATCTGAGACCTTCAAATCCTGGCTGCCTTGGTTGTTCTCCAGTGCCTTCAAGCAGCTATAGGGTCATAGGTGGAAGCCTCTTCACTCAATACATTTTAGTCATATATCAAAATCCATGAAAATAATGTAATTTTAAGACTGAATAAATATCATTAATGTCTAAAAACAAAAATACCAAATGAAAAAAATTATCACCAATGGAAAAGTTAAAATTAAGTGACATTTTTAAAGCCCAGAAGACTTTTAAATTTATTTTGAATAATATGAAATATGGAATACTGTATACAAATGTCAAGTAAAATAATTGGGCTTTATCGAGATCTCTCTTTGATAATATAAATCCAGTGTCACATTCAGAGCAATTTATTATACGTATGCTTAAACATGAATTGACAACTTAATGATAAGAAATAAAAATGAACAGTAGGAAACAAAGCATAACAATGATATTATGCAAGTATAAAGACTGAACTAGGTTCTGCTTAATCGCACCTTGTTAACTTCCGTTTCCTTTTGGCAGCAGCCGTCATTGCCATGTAGGATGGGACCATGCTTTGCACAGGCAGGAGATGTTTAGTGGTGAAGGAGGAAGGGGCAAACCTGTATATTAAACAATAAAAAGTAAAAAGCAAGTTTGATTTGTACTATCGAGAGAGGCCATGCACTTACATGATGGGAATACCATTTCATATTAATAGATAAAGAAAATATTATACAGTACTGTAAACCTTCCCTTGCTTTACTCTGGAATTTCGTTTTCTCCTATTTAAACTATAGATACCGAGTTGTTATGAAGAGATTTCTGCATTCCCAACAGCATAAAAAGGTGAAGGTATTGTTCTTCCCATATTTAGATTAGTTGTGATAATACAGATGAAATGAGAAGAGTATGTCTGCTTGGATGACATCCAGTCAGCCATACCTTAGACATATGACCACTTCAGAGTAAGTTGAAGTTTGTCATCACTTCAAGTCTAAACATTAACAGAAACTGTGAAATTTTCTTTATTGAGGATATTAGTGAATAATAATCAACATGGTAGTTTTCCAATAATGGCTTGTAGCATCTGACCTTAGTATGAAGAACAAACTAAATATATCTTAAGGTCTTTTCCAGCCTAACGAAGGTCAATCAAACTAAGATATCAAATTGATGACTTTAAAATTGATCTAAAAATACACTTCAAATACAGCTAAAGAAGAAAAAAAAAGTGAATAGTTTAAAGGCTGCAAAAAAAAAAAGAAGAACTGACAAATACTTTTTTCCCATACCTTTGTACAACATTATTGTTTGGTACTGATTGCTGCTCAGGTAATTTACTGTTCAATCTCTTGGTTTCTTCACATATAGTAAATGTAGAGTCCAAATCCTCCTGTCTATATTCTTTTTTCCTGCAGACAGGAATATCTACTTCACACGACATTTTCAGAGAAGTGTCACTGTTTATATTTGAGCTGATGGCCTGAAAACTCAGAGTATTAGATGATGGTTTTAATAAGGTCACTGTAGATGGATTTGGCAAAGTTTTTCTACAGTCTTCCGGGGTATACACAATAGGTTGAAGTTCCTTGCTGAAAGAGTCATTGAGCTGCACACTTTCAGACAGTGCAGACTTTTGGGTATGCTTTGCTTTCAAGGGAGAGGGCATTAGTTTTCTTCGAGTTCTTTTCGGTGAAGGAATGTTAAGCAGATTAGGTTCACTTGAAGATGTGCCTGTTTGACAAGATTAAAAAGAAGTTCAATAATGTCTAAATAGTTTTTATTTAAATTTATCACGGTGACATTGGTTAATAACATTATCTAGGTCTCAAGTGTATATTTCTATGATACATGATCTATATATTGTATTGTGCAAATAGTTTTCCAATAGCCCTATCAGTTAAAAAAAACACCACCAATTATAAAGTACATTTTCTGCCAAACGATAAAAATTTAAAAGAAAATAAGCTGGAAAGAAAAATAAATCATTTATTGTTAATAACTTTATAAAGAGTCTATGAAGAAAATAAATAAATGGCTAAAATCAATATTAATTTATAGATATAGCTATCTGGAGATATTGAATAATCATGAAAAAAAAATTCCAATTAATTCTAATGAAATTTACAAGCAATTTTCAGCTTCCATGTTTGATTTAGGTTTAAGATAAAAAATGTCAACATTTGTGGGCACAGAGATCTGTAACTTGTTCTATTGTAAAATATCACCAATTTATTACTAATTGAGTGGACATCTATTCTAAAGTAACAACAATGGCAATAACCAATAAAATTCCAAGGGAAATGAGAGAACTACATCTGTTAATATGCCATATATAGTTAATTAGCATTCTGGTGGATTGATTTGTTTCTTGTATCATACATAATTCACAAGCTTGCAAAAATTAGATTAATATCAAAGCTAAATAAACCTAATTTGAAGAATTCAGAATACTCTTACTTGACCATTATCTCTCTATAAAAGCAAGTCTCCCAAATGTGAAGTCACCAAGCTTAATAAACTTCTCTTAGCTACAACTTCTGCAGCTTTTCAAAGTGATTTCCCTACTACTTCTCCAGCATCTGTTACCTTCTTCTTCTTCAATTCAGTAAACGTATATGTTTCCCTAGGGATATGTAATTGACTTTCTAGTTTTCTTATTCTACACTCTTATTTCTAATTATCCTCTTGCCACTGCTTTCTCAGTCACACGGGTCCCAAATAACCAGAATTTTTAAACTTTTTCCTTGTATTTCCCAATATCCACCAATCCTACCTCTCACACTTTCCTGGCTAAAACATAATTCTGACTGTGCCATTCTTGTAATTAAATACTTATAGTAGTAACATTCAAACAGGAACATAATATCCAAAGATTTTTAGTACAAGATTTCTTGTTTGTTGGTTCCAAATTAAAGAGACAAATTATTTTGTTTGAACTTAAGTGTGAATTCCCACCATACTAAAGGTCATAATACTTCCCAAGCACCATTTTTTAATGCCCAAAGTAGTGACTTGGTTACACACATGACAATAAACTTGATCTGCTCCAATGTGCTTATCTTTTATTTCTTAATTTACTATTTTCTGCTCTACTTATTTCATTCTGGTGAACTTCATGGTACGTGACACAACATTAAGTTTGGAATATTTTGTCTGGAAAGAAACTATCAATATAATGTGTATTTCTGCCCCTGTTTTCAAATCATGCAGTAAATTTCCCAATTGATTTTATATGTGCTTTATGATATATTAAAAACAATGAAAGCTGAATAAAGTAAGTGTTATATATTTCAATAAAGCAATTCGAACTTTCAACCAAGTTAGAAAGTACACTTATAGCAATCACCAACAGTACATGCATTATTCCTAAGTTAGTTGACAGTAGGCTCTGCTACGGCTAGGTTGACAATTACCCTCTAGGAAATACAATTTAAAAACAGGAAGAAAAAATATGATCCCTGTTCTACTAAGAAATTTTACTTTTCTGAGAACTAGATAAATGAGATCCAGATCTTAAAATAATTTTCCACTCCCTTTAACATGACATTTGTCAAATTTTCCATTACCAGATATTTTTATACTAATGCTGCAGTATAAAGACAGTTACTTTTCTCCACTGTGCTGCTACCACCAATTTGGTGGCTATTAATAGCTGGAAGATTAACTTCTTTTCCCATGAGAGGCAGCAGGGGTATATAGAGGATAGAAAACTATATCAAGGATAGAGAACTGAATTGGGAGTCAGGAGACTTGGATTCTATTTCTGGCTTCACCAACAACTCACTGAGTGACCTTGGGCAACTCATTTAAGCAGTGTGGGCATTAGCCCCCGCCCCCCCGCCCCCCCGCGGCAAGAAAAAGGATATACTACCTTTTTATGTATAGGGCATTTTCTAGGATTAGTTAGTATCTATAAAAGACTTAGTGTTCAAAGAAAGGCTCTAGAAATATAAATATTCTTTAACTGTTAGCATTACTACTTCACAGGGGAAAGTTGTAACTGACTTTCCCATATGCCATCAATATTTAACTCATAGTTAAAACTAAAAGACTTTATTTAAAACAATGTCTCACTTTCAGTTTATCAGAGATCGAGTTTATCAAGGCTGATGATAAACCGGAATATAAACCAAAGCAGGCACATGTAAGTGTTATTTAACTTAGAACACAAAGAAACATGAAATCTCAAGGGATAAGTATTATCCAGAGTCACTATTTTTCTTTCACATATCTAGACAGGGATAATCTCTGGAGTGGCACTGGGCACACTTCCACGAGGGGAGATCATTTCCCCTACTGCCTGTAGAGAGCATGAATGTAGGGGGGCAGGCGGCGGGGGAAGTCTTCTATGAGACACTGAAGAATTATCTACCTGTTCTCGGAGATAACGTAAACATACAACAAATCCGAATTCTGCTATGGTCAAACTGAGTAACAACTGTCGGTGAGAACAACTGTAACAGTACAATGATCTATCTTTAACTATAATTCTGGTTTCCCAGCAGGACATGATAACTTAAAAGAGAAACATGGAGATGGGGTACTTAATGTGGATTCTTATACTCTTGTTTTACTGGGTCTGGAAGAAAAAAATGTTATAGGTATATAGCATATGCAAAATAAAAATCTAGATGGTTCCTTTCTTCTTATTGCCTCAATTATTTAATACAGAGAAAATAATAAGAGAACGGAAAATACATAGTCAATTCAGAATGACTTAGGCTGACTAGTTGCTAAGAAAGAATCAGGAGATAACCAGAGCAAAAATAAGATTTAAAGATTTAAGTAAAAACTGAACAGTAAATCCATGGTGATCATGGAAATAAAAATACACTAAACAACTGATATTTCACCTTTAATATGATTTGCAAAACATAAAAAATATCTTTCTCCTCTATCTAGGTAGGTAATGGAGTACTTTAAGTGCGTATGGCAAGCTGGAGAGTGTTGGGCACTATATATTTTACTGTATATTTTAACAGGTTATAATAACCATTGAATATGCTAGCTCTAGGTCTATAAAAGAGATATGCTGTACTTTTCCATTAGAGGATATACAGTAACTTTCCAGAAGAGCAGGCTGGGGCCAGTTGTAGTTTCCTCTGATTCAGCCTGGGAAAATACTATCTAACAAGATTCTGTAATTCTTGAGTCTATAGAGTGGAAATGATAAAGAAGGAACCTGGAGGCTGACCATAACTCTTTTAAAAAGCCCCCATAAAATAAGAAATCATGTAGTTATGGCTTTCGGAACAAGGGAGGCCAACAGATAATACTAGGCTATGAAATTCCTCAGCAATATGTATGCTTTGCAGGAAGGGATAAAAATTAAAAATGAACGTTATAAGGTAGGCTCTTATTAATTGGAATAGAAAAGACTGGCAGCCACTTGGAAAGACGGTGTCCATCTAAGGAACCAGCTCCCCACATCATATATTTGAGAATGTACAGGAGGTGGTTGGTAGCAATGTGTCCGATGGTCTGAAAAATTTTGCTCTTTCCAGAACACCTTTTGGACCTTTAATTCTCCAGAACATTGTAGATTTACTACTTTTCTACTGCCCCCAAATGGCTATGACTCAGGGATGTGAGTGTGACTTGTTGAAATTTATGTCCAAATAATAACAATAACCATAAATGTTAAGACATTTAAAAGAAGTCACTACTACTATTTACAATCCAGAATCAATGTTTATTTTATTTATGAAAGAAAAAAAGTTGTAGTCAGCTATGGCATGAGAGAAACAATCTAAGAGCACTGAATCTACATTAAAAAAAAAAATCAATGTTTATTCATCTACCTTAAGTACCGGCCATGTTTCCGACCTTTTGTAGGTATTGAGAAGACAGCAGAAAATTAGACAGTTAAGAACTTACATTTTGTGAGAGGAGAAGACAGAGAAAGAAATTCTCTTAATAAAGTAAGATAATTATGACAAATGAGTTGAAAAGACAATAAAACAGTGAAATGGAACAGAAAGTGATGGGAGATAGGAAAGGTGTTAATTATAATGACCATGGAAGGTGATTCTAAGGGACAGGGTATGTGATCTAAGATTTGAATGGCTATGAAGGAGCCAGCCCTACAAAGATCTGGGAAAGAGGTGGAGGAAATAGGGTTAAATAACTTTGCTGAGCTCAAGAAAAAGAGAGAAGACAGCAAGTTAGAGGGAAAGTAGAAATGAGGAGCGGCCATGTTGTGTTAGGATCTATGAACAAGCTAAGGGTTTAGATTTATTTCAAGTGCAATGGGTTATCTGTAGAGGATTTTAAGGATGACTATAATGTGATCTCATTTACGTTTTTAAAAAAGATTCCTTTGCTTATTGTGTGGGGAAAGGAATATGAATGGGCAAGAGAGAAAACAGGAAAATCAGTAACAAGGCTATTGCTATAAGTTCGGTCAAGAAATGATGAGCTTGGATTAGAGTGGCAGCAGCAGTGATGGAGAGGTGGAAAGGGTGTTTTAATCAAGTAATGAGTTATAAACTATACAAAGTAAATCCAGAACATCTCCAATGACATATACATATGTGATTAGCTGCCTGACAATCAGGAACAAAGATAAGATGGAAGTTCACGCAAAGGAGTAGTATATATGATTTTATACAACTTCATAAAAATTGACCACTTTCCACGAAGCCATGAACCATTCCCACAGGTATAATTACAGAAGAGTTCAAAAGGCTTTAAAAGTCATTCCCTTAAACTTGGCATTCTCTTGTTACTGC